TTGCTCTTCTCCGAGTCCTTCTCGTCTTGTATTATCTTGGTGCATCGTGCGACCTGGAGGGGCTGCTCTTCTTGCATTCGTTGGCGGTCGGCGGCGATATCCCAGAGATGTGGAGGTGCGAGACCGGTATCTGATTCCTGGAGGCGTTAGTCGAGCATGGAGGAGGGTGAAGGAGTCTGTACTTTGACGCCAATCTTCTCGTTTATCGTCTGCTGCTTGTCCTTGATCTCCTTCTCGAGCTTCTTGAGTTCGGCGCCATAGGGTGCCGCGCCGTATGTCTTTAACACCTGAATGTCCCTGTGATATCATTAGCCCATGTCCGCTCTGATTGTGACGTGCCATCTCTTACTCATCGGTCAGAGGTGTGATCTTCTTCTCCTCGACCTCATCGTCGGCGAAGTTCTTCTGGTACTTCTCCCAGGACTGGCCTGTGGCTGAAGGCATGCTTGCGGAGTGGGCGGCGACTGTCGTGTGGCCGAGATAGGGTTCGGGCGATGCGTGCAGTCGAGTTGTAGATGAGTCTGGGTAGGAGCGACAGTGGGAGCAGATGCGGCGGCGCGGGCGAGGGTATGGGGTTGGTTGTTGTGGACTGGGTGAAGGTGTAGCTGTGATGCGGCAATGGCCCGGCGAGTCGGAGCTTGGGGATTGGCCGTGCGCTACGTCTATCGCGTTCTCGAAATATTGTCAGTTCGCGTCCAGGCACCACAACTTCCCCGCCAAACTCCCACGATACCCCTCTTTTAGCTTTGTTCACCTGTTTACTGAAAGATGGCTGCTCAAGTTGCAAATGGCGGTACCGGTGGCGGTAACACTGCCTTCAAGGTGCGCTTCGTCACTAAGCTCTGAAAACATTGACTGACATGGGCCCAGGACAAGGAGAAGCCCAGAGCTGTTCGCAGCGCCAACATCATCGCCGCAAGAGGTACAGAACCTATTCATTCCCTCTTAGGAGCATCTCGCTAACTCAAATTGTGCAGCTGTGGCAGATGCGATCCGAACTGTATGTCACACCACGAGGTGCGGGGAAGAGACGAATACTAACTTTTGGCAGTCTTTGGGACCAAAGGGCATGGACAAGATGGTACGAGACAGGCGCAAATCGCTAGCCATCACAACTGACTTGTCCAGATCCAAACCAGCAAAGGCCAAACCATCATCACCAACGACGGAGCTACCATGCTGAACCAGATGAGCGTTATGCATCCCTCCGCGAAGATGCTCGTCGACCTCGCACACGCCCAAGATATCGAAGCTGGAGATGGTACAACGTCCGTCGTAGTCATTGCTGGAAGTCTGTTGGGCGCTGCTGAGAGGTTATTGGGCAAGGGCATCCACCCCACAGTCATATCAGAGGCTTTCCAACGGGCAGCGCAGGAGGCGATATCGATATTGACCGAGATGGCCATCCCTATCTCGCTCACAGATAGGCAAACGCTCCTCAAGACCGCTACAACCGCGCTCTCTTCCAAGATCGTCGCTCAGGAGCCCAAGCTACCCATCATGGCTGTGGATTCAGTCCTCAAGGTCATCGACCCCAAGACTGCCGACAACGTGGATTTGAAGAACATCCGGATGATCAAGAAGTCAGGAGGTACCATCGAAGATAGCGAGATGATCGACGGACTGGTTCTCAACCAGCCTGTAGTCAAGAGCGCCGGTGGTCCCACATTGAAGGAGAAGGCACGGATAGGTCTCATTCAGTTCCAGTTGAGCCCACCGAAACCAGACATGGAGAACCAGATTGTCGTCAACGACTACAGGCAAATGGACAAGATCCTCAAGGAGGAGCGAACATATCTGCTGAACATGGTCAAGAAGATCCAGAAAGCCAAGTGCAACGTTCTCTTCATCCAAAAGTCTATCCTCCGAGACGCAGTCAACGACCTCAGTCTGCACTTCTTGTCTAAGCTGAAGATTCTTGTCATCAAGGATATTGAGCGTGACGAGATTGAGTTCATTTGCAAGGTGCGTAAGAGAAGTGATTCACCTGTAACGAAGCTAATGCACAGTAGAGCACTGGCTGCAAGCCTATTGCCGATATCGACTCATTCACAGAAGACAAGCTCGGTTCGGCAGACCTTGTCGAGGAGGTACAGGCATCGGGCGCACGATACGTCAAGGTTTCGGGCGTCAAGTCAGCAGCCAACACTGTCTCCATCGTCTGCCGCGGTGCTAACAACCTCATTTTGGATGAGACCGAGCGATCTCTACACGACGCTCACTGCGCCATCCGCTCGTTGGTCAAGAAGAAGGCGCTACTTGCTGGTGGCGGTGCCCCGGAGATTGAGATTGCGCATCAGCTGTCACTCAAGGCTCGTGAGCTCTCTGGCACTGAGTCTATTTGCTGGAAAGCTTTCGCCGATGCCATGGAGGTCATTCCGACAACATTGGCGGAAAACGCCGGTCTGAACAGCATCAAGGTCGTCACAGAGCTAAGGCATAGGCACGCGCAGGAGCAGAAGAATGCTGGTATCAGCATCAAGAGCGGGGGTGTCAAGAACGACATCAGCGAGGAGAACGTACTGCAGCCACTGCTGGTCAGCACCAGCGCTATCGAGCTTGCAGCCGAGACCGTCAAGATGATTCTGCGAATCGACGACATCGCCTTGTCGAGGTAAAGAACTGCAAATGGATTGACTTGGCAGCAAAAGACGCAGGATACCACGAGTAATGAAAAATTCGAACAACTGTTGATGCCAAATAAGTGTTTGGAATGTCATGACATTGCATGTGAAGGTTACGCGTATATTGCGTTGAATGCATGAACGGTGCAATCAAAACCTGCACGTGGGGGAGCATGGGACTGCAGTAGCGGGACACGTCGTTCTCTGCAGACTGTCGAGAAAGGATAAGCCGTGGATCACTTTTCTTCTTCCAGATGCCGAATTCGGACCACATTGATCCTGGGGTATGCACCTGAAATGAGCACTGTTTTCAACTTGACTCGTTTGGAAAATGGAGAAATGCGAATGCGACTATCTGCGCGCGTGACGAAGCAATTGCTTTTCGGGCTGATCTTTCGCCCGCATAGGTTATCCGGCCGTCAGCATGTAGACGCAGTGTTTCCGTGCCGTGTTCATGAGTAGTGTATGTGTGTGATGCCTCACCACGATAACGCGAGCACCCTGGCCTAACGACTTTGTCGTGCGCCTAACATTGCAGGATATCACGACATGAAAACGGTTTCAATGCAAGCAGACGATCGGTTTTGTAATCTTGCTGTAGGTGCTTATCACCCGGCCAAGACGTGAATCCTGACCTCGGGAACGCCGACGGACAGCGTGTCTGCAGCAACATCACTTTTTAGCTGCGGCCACGGAACTCATACACAGGTATGCTGACTAGCAAGACATTCATCATCAGCACCTTCAATAAATCTTATATCTAACTTCGGCTACACTACGCGCGTGTAATAAACAAAGGCGCAAAAGAAGTAAAGAACCCCGGAAAACACCACCTCCCAGCCGCCCGTATGCAATCTAACGGCATTCCTCTCACTTTCGCATCACAGGACAATGACATGCATATGCCGTACCTTTTTCCCTAACTTTCTTTTCCCGTCGATCAGCCAACGCCACAACAACGACCTGCAGTGCCACACGAGCAATACTCAGTGTACAATGTAAACAACATCGTCACCTCACGCAAATGCATCACCGATCCAAGCAAAACCACGCAACCGATCCAGACCCCCACCACACATGACCCGAATGACTGTACGCGCGCGCTATCCGCTGCGAACGCAAGATCGAGCCCTGTGGGAGTGCAAAAAAATCTAGCGCAAGCTGAAACGTAGCGTACCGTGAAGATTGGAGCAGTTCGGTTCGGCATCTAGTGGGTTAGTGTACCAGGAACCGCGTATAGGTAAGTCAGACTTGTTCGGCAAGGGAACCCATTAGGCATCTAGAGCCGGTGGGCAGGTGGAGCTTCACCGGAAAGCGGTGGTGGAGTTGGGGGAGCTGGTGGAGGATAAGAGTGAGTGGGTGTTTCATGTTCCTGTGGCTGATGGGATGTTCGCTGTATCTTTTGCGGAAAGTGTAGTGGGCACGTCATTGTTGACTGCAGGTGGAGGGTTTGAGGAGTAAAGAGGGAAGATGGAGATCATGGTTGGTGGAATATGTTGTGCGATGTGTTGATGCGTTGGATCGACCAATGCTTTCACATATACTCAACCTCAACCTAGCTGCCCAATAACCCTCCTTCTCATGCATCTTACCTCGCCACCGAAACACATCCTCCCAGCACCACGAAACGCATACAACGCCTAGTATCAACTACTGCATGCAAACTGTACGAGTACTGTAATGTTGATCTTTGCCTAGCCACTGGATGAAAACGGCAACGTCATACAACCATCCCTGCCCTTAACATCTATGCGATATAGATCTCTCCGCTGCGGATAATGTGGTTAGTGTGGTTCTTTGGCGAAACATGTGGAGAGATAAGACGGGTAGTGTGAACGGGTAGGTAAAGCTCCGGTAGAGAGTACGAGGACCTAGTCATGATCGCTGGGGGCGATCACTCCTTCGGCAAAAGTCAGGTGCTGTGAGTTGAGACGCTGGACTGTATCGGCAATTGCGATGAGTAACCGTTGTTGCTTGATGTAATAGGAAATACGTGGAAACAATGCTATCGACAAGGATGAGGCGAAGTGGTGGTATCAAAGCGACAGACCAGTTTTGGTTGCTGCCGACTGGGTATCATTCTCGATGAAGTTCTTGGCTAGCTAAGTATGAAGAAATACCAGCAGGGTAGCTGGGCATGGGAGATGAAAGGAAAACGCCTCATTCATGCATCTGAATCGTTCGGTTCGTGCATCGTGATAATCGTACAGTCTGATGAGCTTTCGTAAACCCCCGTAAATGTCTAGAAAATGGTCGGACAAGGAAATAAAAGTCGCTCGCTGAAACGCAGCAGACCTGTTGTTGGTCTTTATTAGGAAAGACAGGCAAAAAGTACAATGTGAGAAGTGAATTAATAGATGCAGGCTGAAATGGGGATCAGCGACTGGTGGCCTTGAGGCTGGCACGCTTCAGTAAGCGGCTCACGAGGTTTCCGCGCGGTTTAGGCTTGACGTAGAAGGCGCCCTTGGTGCCGGTCATGTCGTCAGTGAAGACAAGGTCTTCCAATGCCAGAGGATCGTCTTTCGAGGTTTTGGGACTTGAGCTTGAGCCTGAGCCTTGCCAGCCATACAGTTGATCTTCGTCAGCTCGTAAATCGGGCCGGGTCAAGGTCATACGAAGCGTCATCTCGCGATTAAAATGCCCATTGGCGGAGTGGACAGGCGATGGAGCCGGCGAATCGACCGAGAACTTGCGGTGCGAGATTTGGCGGGAGTGCATGCGAAAAGACAGGCCGGTGCTGGAGGGCGTGGCGGGTGAGTCCATGTCGGCTACAGAGCCGGCATCAGATTCCAGACCCTGGTTCTCTTTTGGATGGTCTTCGAAGAACGACAGCTGTCCGTCCCTCAGGAAGGTGTGCATGTCTCGGCTGAACTTGCGAGCATGATTGTCTATTTGTGGCAGCTGGAAGTGGGGTGTAGCGGCGTCGCTTCCAGCAGACGATGGGAAGCCGAATTCAATCGCTTCATCGAACTTTTGAGGCGATGCAAGATACATGCGCAGCTTTTTCCTCGCCTCGGGATCCTGGTAGTGTGTCGCTTCGGGATCGATCATGAGAGTTGGCGGCGTAGACGGCGATATGTGGCCTGTAAGAGAAGAAGAGTGGGCACGCTGATGGAGTCGGTTCGGCCGAGCATTGAAGAGTGGAGGATCCGCTATGTATGAAGATCCAAGGCGGACAGGGTGCGAGGTAAGGGACATGGTTCGTCTCATGTCTGCCGTTGAAGTTTCCCTCCGATGGAAGATGGGCGTGGCCATTGTGTCGAGATATAGTAAATGGGTGTTTCGGTCCTTGTCCGTGTTTGATGTACAAGAAGGCCCGAAAGTCGGACGGGAAGGGCTGACGGTCGAAGAGGCCGAAGATGAACGACGTCGTGAACGGCCGCGTTCCGGAAGGTCGAGCGTGGAGTGAGAGAAGTCGAAGTGAAAATCGTTGAAGCGTTGTTGTGCCCACTCGGGATCCTGGTCGTCGGGAAGGAACGCCTGTTCGTGCCTGCCTTGGAGGAGGGCCTGCTCTTCGCGGGAAAAATGCTGCTTGCGTACCTTTTCAGGCAAGGAGAGAAAGAAGTCAAGGTCAATGTGGGAGATGTCGTGAGCGTGCACAGCCTTTTCGGATTTGCGTCTGCGTCGTCCGGTGCCGAGAGATAGCGAGGGCCGGTGGGATTTGGAAGCGGTGCTGGCCTGGGACGAGCGGCCTGATGTAGTAGGCTCGTCGGAGGCGTGCTGGGCGATCTGCAAACGCTCCAGGGATGAAAAGTACTTTCTCCTGTAGCGGGACGAATTAGCATTGGCATCATGGCATAATTGACAGGCCCTTCATCTACTGCAAGGTACACAAAAAGTCATGGTGGGGGATTCGGTATATGCACGCGCATAACGCGCCCTTATCACACGTGCCGACCACTCAGGAGCGCGGAATATTACTTACTGGACTGAATACGGCAGGGCGTCGAATTCGGCCTGCCGCAGAGGCAGAATAGTCCCTTTGGCTTTGCTCTTCATGGCTTCGGCTCGGATCTCGACGTCGGCGATGGCGCAACGTTTGGCTTCAGGCACATGGGGGCGTGGTTTGCGCGGACGACGCTGCGAATGGCGGCCCTGACGCCGTGGCCGGGCGGTGCGGCGGGCACTTGGTCGTGAACGTTTGGTTGAGCAATGCTGGTGTACTTTGTTCTCGAGGATCGACCGGAGGGCTATCCGAACAGCAGCAAGCGAAAGTCCGAAGAAGAAGGAATTATATGAGGTCCAACAGGACGGCCGCTGGGGGATAGAAACAATCAGTGGGCTCAGCAGCGTACGACTGTCGCTCGCACTTGGGGCGGCTGCATATTCGTGTCGCGGGATGCTGCAGCTGCAGGCTAACGCGCCGCCAGCGACGCACTCTCTGCTCTCCACCTCACACCTGGGCCCTAGTAGAACCGTGGCTGATGTATCCGAGAGCACGCCAGGCCCGCGTGCGGTCGTTGGTTGAGTCAGGTAGTGCAGACAGGCCTCCTCCCCGCTTCTCTCCACCTTGCCGTCCGCTGTTTCAGGCCCGTGGCCGCCAGGAACACACCGTCAGCGGAGCCACGATGCTTAGCGTGCGACACACCGCTGGCCAACGTGCCCGGCTCGCGGAGTCGACAGATGCTCTCCATCACATTTGCCTGATTAAGCCTCCGCATCAAATATACTTGCTTCTGGAATATGCGTTATGGCGTTACTACCAGGCCGCCCGACTGGCCGGCTCAATGGCTGCGCCAGCGTGTCACGGGTTAATATCGCACAGATCACCGTCGATTGCCAGACGCCTTGTACAACGTCGAGCATGCGCTGCGTAACGACGACAGGCTGACAACACGCACGCACGCTCCAAACAATCTGTCTAATTGCAGCGTATTGCACAGGTACAAGCAAGGGTATCTCAAGAGAAGCGCATCCAGCTCCCGCGCCAACGCAAATGTTACCGCCCCCTGCACAGTTCCTAATATGGTTCCCAGAGAGCGGTACCTGGTTCCCAATTTGAACGTCGACAGACGTCTATTCACAAGACGGCGAACGTCTTCCACCCCGCCGTTGCCTAGTTCCGCATCGAGAAAGATTAGGCTTTCGGAAGCGTAGGCTTAGGCTTCCCAACATCATGCAGCTTGGACGTTGGCGGCCCCATTAATTTCACTATTACCTGCACAAGATCGATGTTTGTTGTCCAGGACTCCTGTCCGTGAACAAGCATTTTCTGGATCTTCAGGCACCCGCAATGTCATCTGCATTAAGGTATCAAGTCAGTATTGAGCCCGTGCCACGGTGTAAAGGAGAAGCACGTACAGTAGTATTCGTCATCCAGTCCTTCACGACTGGGGAGCACTGGTTCCTCCAGCCCGACATCTTCGTAGCGAACGTTGAGCAGACGGATCTTGAGCCCGTAACCGCCGATGAAGGTTACCAACTTATTGGTGTCAGCGGTAATTGGCTGTTGGTTCAGTAGCATCAGCAGTCCATCAAGCCACTCGGAAGCAAGGGTATGGCTCTGGGGATGCAGATGCAGTAGGACGGATTCTTTTCGCCCTGCACCTGAGCCGCTGGACGCCTGCCGCGCGTGATTGGACGGGGGCAGGTAACCGTGGATCGTGATCTTGGTCGACGTCGAAGCCCGCTCGTGGCCTGGCAGGGTTGTGACCGTACTGTCTGACGATGCGGTCGATGGCGCCGAAGCCGAGACATTGCTCACCACCGAAGAGACAATGGATAGATCGACTGTACATGCGGGTCAGCCACTGCGGTAACGCAAACCACAAACGACGCGTGGACGCGTTACACTTACTCTTCTCCTGCAGCGTGTCTAGCCTCGGCTCAGTCGCCGTCTTCTCGTCAAAGTCAGCGTAATGCAGATATCGCCGGTTGTGCGACAATCGGACAAAACGCCATGATGAGGGCACAGAACGATTCAGGGTCTTGCTGGTTACCGGACCCGCACTTGTGCCATAGTCGATACCCATTGGAAACCACGCGCCCTGTAGCAGGCATCTTATACGCTGCTCCTTTACAAACTGCAGAGCCTCGTGGTTGAGCTCGTCACGGACCTGACTGTGGAGAGTTAGCTGAGCACAGACTACATCGACGCAAACTGCATACCGGAGATGATGGCCCCATGCATCCTCGTAGGTCAGCTCCAGTACTTCCATTTGAAGCTCTCTCAGGCGTTTCAGCTCGAATTCAGCCAGATCTTCCTCCACGTCCTTGACATCCCTCATGCGTGGCGCCTGGCCCACGACCTGCTCGATCAAGATGCGGACAAGCTCTTCGATCTTCTCAAAGTCCTCGGTTTGTGCGCCAGCTACTTTCCATAGTCGGATGAAGGCGCTCAGACCACTCGTATGTAACCTGGACCAGTGGAGCAGGAGGGGCTTGAATGAGCGGTCGAAGTTGGCCCGCGAGTCGGTAGGCCGGTGGGAGTCCACATCGTCGAGCTTATCTATCTCAAAATGTTCGTATAGGGTCTGGGTGACCGACAGACTTGCGCGAGCGATTGGGCATCGCTGCTCGAGTGGCTCTGCCGACTGCTCCAGCAAGAGCTTCTGAAACCCGTCTTCGTTCTTGTAGACAAAGTCTGTAATGTCCATGAGGCCTAGGAAGCCAGTCGCGTCGAACTCCCACGCAGGTGATTCCGTCTCGAAACCCAGACGCTTCCATTTATCCGGGTTGTGCTTCTTGCTTCCTTTGGGGTCTGATGCTGACTTTTCTGGATTACTCGCCGTGTGTAGACCCCGGATCGCCCTCCTGTGATCGGGGTTCTCCAAGTCAACCTTCTCTTCCCTCCAGTTCCTGAGCAGTATCTTGGTCAAGGATTGGAAGTCGAGTAGTGGATGTGCCAGATCCTGTATCGCAGAGCTCTGCATAAGCCCGTACACGCTCTTAATCACGCCCAGCTCCTGCAGCTGCTTGATAAACTTGGGCCATTCAAAGGCCGCGTCGTTTGCGATGGCGTCTCGCATGAGCGCGTTGATGAGCTGTAGGGAGTTTGCGCATAGCGCGTGGTCGGCCGAGGTGATCTTTTCGACGAGGGAGGGTAGGAAGTCGGGCTGAGAGTCGACGGCGGGCTTCAAGCGCTGGAAGCCCGTGGTCCCGTCCTGGGAGTTACGGTGTGAGGGGTGGCCGACAATGGCAGCGAGGACCGACATGGCACCGCGGTTGACGTTGACGAGAGGCTGTGCGACGACGAGGTCGACGATCTGGAGTGTAGTTGTTAGACCTCTTCAGGCAATCCCTCGTTCCAAGGTCGTCGTCGACTTACCCTCGCGACCAGATCGTCCGTGACATGGTCCCATCCCTTGTCCAACTCCAGCAGGCGTGCGAGAGAGGTCAGACAGTAGGCCAGGGTGTTGCCGGTCGAGTGCAGCGCCAGGAAGCGCAGCTTGGGCAGGCCGCCTTCGTATATGAAGACGTCGGCGAAGGAGGGGTCGCCAATGGCATTCTGCAGCTTGAAGACCGCCATCTTCCGCACCGACTCCTCCTCCGCGCCGAGGCGCGCAACCAGTTCCGACACATTGACGCTATCCATGGCTCAAGCTTCTTCGCAGGGTGGGAGGATGTGGGGTAGGTAAGAATAATGTGGAGATGGTTCGTTCGCCCCAAGTCACGCAGGAAGGGCAGACATGGCACACGCGCCAGAGACCGAGGCGGCGGAGTTGGCGGGCGGGATGCTCGTCGCTGCTGTCGACGATGTTTCACCCTGTCCTGCGCCGTCGCGCGTTAGCTGAGTCGCGCGACCCTTTGCTTGGCGACACGCTTCACGTGCGCCGGCCCACACGCTGTTGGCTGCCTGGGCCGGCTAGTCAGGTACGTCGCCGAGCCGACAACATCCAAAGCGCCGTCCGGTCCGTCCTGAGCACCATCGCGACTAAACATCAGCGCTCCTTTCGGCCCATTCCCGTCCCTTTGCTTTAGCGCGCCGTCCTCGATACCCTTTGTCCTGTTTTGCAAGCCGCTTTCTGTTCTGTGTTGACGCCGCCGCTGCACGTTCCAGCTCCTTCCGCCTTTGAGGCCGACAACAGCTCCTCCGCTTCACCCTCACCATCACCGCGAAGTCGCCGCCACTATGGTCTACATCACCTCTGACTTGTTCGGTCCCAATACACCGCACGAGCGCCAATACGACACCACCCCCAGCTACTGGCATACCATGGCCCACGATCAACACGCCGGCGGCCTGGGCAAGAGAAAGAGAATGGCTGGCGACGACGGACCCCAACCGTATGCACCGATACTCCATCCAACATAGAGCTCTAATTCTAACAACTCTGCAGCATGTCACGCCAACACCGCTCATCACCCAGTCGCGACTCCAACCGCCTCCATCTCCACAATACCCCGCCTTTCGAGAGCAACAACAACCTGCCATACGCCCTCTTCCCCTCAAAGCCACACGAATACACATCAGAACGCCGGCCGGTCAAGCAACTCAAACGCCTGAGTCCGAAAGCGTCTCTCGTCAAGTCAACATCACACCTAATGGACGTCGACTTGGACGCCCCATCACCCTGCCAATCTCAATCACACGCCGTTTCCGACCTGCGATCCTGTCACGCCTGCAACAAAGCGCCCAAGCGACGGAAAGATCTGGAAAATTACCTCGATTGCACGAGATGCGAAGGCCGGACCTGTTTCATCTGTGCGAGGCAATGTGTAGGCTGCAGCAAGGCGACATGCAAGAAGTGCATAGTAGAAGTCGGAGAAGAGGGGGACGCATGGTGTCTCGACTGTTATTCACGGAACCTCAACTCGTGAGCGCTAGAAAAGGAGGTGGTTTGGTTATTTTGGTTCATCCTAGCAAAGCGGGCGTCCTTGTGTTACTAGCAGCTGCATCGAGCGAGACTTTATCGAGCATCATAATGAAGAGAAGATTCCATCATAAACCAGACCATGTGTCATTCGTGATTCTAGTCCCATTGTTAAACATACAAAGTATCCAATAACCAGTGACGTGTTCTAATCCTCATCGTCTGTATCCCTTTCCTCCACAACACTCTCCTGATCACCCGTGCGGAACCTCAAACGCGAACTTGTCATGTCACCATCCTCGGCCTGGCTAGTCCTGGTGCTCCGTCTCCTGCTCCTGCTGCTGACAATACCGGGGAACAGTCTAGGCTCCCCATCCAATGTGATAGTGCTTGTTGAGCGCGTCAGTCCCTGATCCGGCTCTTCAGGCTCTGTCGGCTGAGCGACAGAAATTGTGCTAGGGTTGACAGTCATGCTAGAGCTGGCACCATCCTTCGTACCTGAAGGCGAAGCCGGTTGGCCTTGCAAACTACCCATGTCGGTTGTCGAGGCAGAGGGCTTGAGCCGAGCGACTTGGGCTGGAGGTAGCTTGGAGAACACTTGGTTTCCACCTGCGGATGCATGTGTGGGAGAAGTGGGATGCGTTCCTTGGAGTGACTTTGGCGTCTGTGGCACTTCCGACTGCAAGTTAGAGCTGGTGAGATCATGACTACCAGCTTGCGCAGCGCGCGTGTAGCGGTCGATCCTATACGGTGTTAGTACTGCCATACGAAGATGTGGATGTCTGTTCGAAACCTACATAGCTAATTCGCCCATGAGCGTCTCGTGGCGGAACGCCTCACGAATACTGGGCACGTTGGATCTCGCCATGTCGTTGCCTGCAACGCCAGGGAGATGGTAGTTGCTACCCAACCACTTCTGCTTGACGACATGCTCAAAACCGCTCTGCTCGACAGAATGTTTGGCCAGCTCACACATATCCACAGCACTCAGTTTGTAGATCTGCGCTGCGACTGAATATTCCTCGATAAGAGGCTCCTTTGTGAAGGCAAATTGAAGAGGGTCGTCTGTCGATAGCGAGACGTTGAGACCGCGTCTAAAGTAGCTCAGGAACGGATTGCGTTCGTACGCCAGGAATAGTGCGTTGTTGCTGAGAGGTGACATAGCGACACCAATCTGTTCAAGGTAAAAGATGTACTGCAGAAGAGGCACCTTACGGAGCAAAAGACCGTGACTGATGCTGTGACAGCATAGTACTGCAGCAGCCAAATGATCAGTGTCACCAGCCTCTCCGCAGTGAGGACGCAGGAGGAACGTGTTGAAGCCGCGCTGCTTTCTCCATACGTTGAGTGACGATATGTTGGCGAAAAGATAGTACATCCAGTAGCTGTACGGCGGATTCTGCTTCGTAGCCCATTCATTCGGGAATGGGAACTTCCTGTACACGCGTCGCTCGACTTTACTCTCATCGTCGACGCTATCGAATCCAATGACCCTCTGCAGGAAAACGTGAAGCTTAGGATGGCTGGACGGATCTTTGGTGACCTCGAACAATGGCTGAAATACGTTTACGATGACTTGCTGGAAGTTGTCCATGAGTCCGGTTGCTTTGTATACGTCGAACAGACGAGGTACTTGGATCAACCAGCGGACGTTGGGCGAGAACAACTTGTTGTCAATGACCCAAGCTGCCAGCTTATCCCACTCTTCAATGTCTCTACCGTAGATGGAGATGCGCCATTCAACGAACTGGTACTTGCTCGCCTCAAGATCAGAGATGACTTCTTTGGTGATTTCTGCGAGGTATCGGCCCTTGACAAAGTTGTCTGTCTTCAGAAAGATGGTTCGTAGGCGTGATTCACCGATCGGGTTATACTTCAAGTTGAACTTGTCGAATCGGTGGAACGAATCCGTGTGAGCCTAGAATATTAGCGAAGTATCGTGGTGCCATATGTCTGTACTCACATGCATATCTAAGGTATCAATACTTAGATCGTACGCTGTCAAATTAATCGACTCGAAGACCTCCCTTAGTGTGAGATGTTTGCCATCACGGAACAGGACCACTTCATCTGGAGATTTCTTCATCTTGGACTTGATGAAGCGCAGCAAATGCTTCTGGTTCATACATGCTGAGTGATGAACGTGGGTGTCGACCTTTCGGACGTTGTAGAAATCTCTGTGCGGCACTTTCTTGGTATCGGCCGTCTCTTGGTATTCATTCAACAAGTAGTAAAGATTGAATTTGCCTTCAAGATATTGAAGCCGACGGAAAGCAAAGCTCTTGCTCGGTCCGTCGGAGGATATATCAAGGATGGAATCGAGATCGATGTAGAATTCGCGTAATGTAGGGATTGATACGATGGGCGTGTCCAGCTCAGCGGACTTGGCGGTCTCGTACACTTGGTAGACACCGCTGCTGTCCAGGCGGAACGACATCTCTCCGGGACCCGGTACGGGAAGACAGTCCTCCAGATGGAAGTCCTCGCCAATATTTGTTCCCATCTTGCGAGGTGGCTTGGCCGGTTCATTAGGCTCAAGGATTCCGCTGTTCTGCAAGCTGCTGCCGCCTGCGTTGCGACGCTGTTTGGAAGAGTCGTTCCATACTGGTTCAGGAGGGGTGGGGTAGATGCGCCAAGCTGGATCATCTTTGGGATTATCGAAGTTGCGCTGCAAAGACAAGCGGATGTACTTGTGACGTAAATCTAGCACTTTCTGGATATTCGTATAGATGGAGCTAAGCTCAGTGGTGATACTGGAATCGTTCATTGCGAAGCCTCCTGCTCCCGTGCCAACACCAATGCCTGCGCCCGCACCGTGGATACCTTCTTCAGCCAGAAGTGGTTTTTCTTCGTGAGGGAGACCGGGGTGTTGCGCGTGAGATCGGGCTTGTTGGTCGGCTTGGAGAAAGGCGTCGCCTTCGTTGCCGGTACCTGCAGTGTTGGCTCCGTGTTGAGTCATGTGTCGGCGCGGATCCTGTGACTGCTCTGTGTGTGACAACCCGATGGGCAGGTTGGACCGATGCCCTTGATTCGCGAGCGTGACATTGCTCTTCCTAGAGCGAATGCTTTCTGCCTTGCCATGGAGGTCTACACCGTCTGTGCCGCCAAAGTTGGCGGGGAATGTCTTTGCGCGCATGGCAGGGCTGTATGTCTCTCCCGCCTGTGAACCTCCATACTGTGTCTCTAGTTGATGGCGCTGGTAGAATTGTTTGGCTTCTGTGTGGCTCATTTGCTTCTCCGCAGTATAGTCGTAGAAGGCGGTTCGTCGCTGCTTGTCGCGGGGTAGCATGCCATTGTCGTCCTCTTCCTCGTCGCTGGTACCAGCATTCTCCCGTGCGGTTGCAGTCGCACCGTTGTCTAGTCGTGTGCGCCCGCTACCGCCAGCTTCAGTTTCGGAGAAGTCATGGCTCAGCTCTTCCTCTTCCGACGAGGGTATCTGGTCGTCGTGGGCAGGGCCAAAGTCGGGCGACGCGTCCGCATCAGCAGAAAAGGCTCCTATTCCTCAGATCAGTCTCCGCTTGTATTTGTATGGAGGAATTGGTTTGCGCTACCTTTCAGCATGGTGCTATGGAGAGATGGTAGTTGTGGTTGCTAGAGCGAACACAAACTTTAAGACGAGCCTCACCAGGAACGCGCCCCGGAGGCGGCCGGCCTGTCGCCTGACCCCGTGCCATTTTGTGAATTATGGATTCGATGACTCCATGGCATACTTATCCTGGATACCCTTCCAGCAGGCGTACGTAACCATAGCGAGCAAGACTTCGAGGCTACAAGCAATCACGTTTCATTCGGGCAAGTTACCAGGCTAGCCCCTCCATCCTCGGCTGGTGATGTTATCGGCAGGGTCAAGGGATCCTTTCCGAGAGTCATTCGGGGCACCAACAACATTCACTTGCATGTGAGGCGCGCTATATGCACTCTGATGTTCCAATGCGTTTATTAAGATATTCCCATGAACTGGAGTGGGCGAATGGTTTGGATCATTCCCTCACCGGGCACAGGATTGCCCCTCATGAATACCCCACAAAGTCACCAATCAACCTGTCCTAGGATTGATATCCTGGCAAAGGATGTCCAACCTTGAATGCAACGAGCTGTATTATGCGGGAGAGAGATCGGCAAATAGTCATATTATTGCTGTCCGAATTGTGCAATACGTCACCAAGAAGTGCAATACATGTCGAGAGCGTCCAGGGCTTGAGAACGCCGCTCACGTGCTAGGAGCTTAGCGCGGATCAATGATCCATGCCCAAAAATTTACGGTATTCCGACTTTTAGCAACGCATCCACATTTGCCAACTTCACCCATACCGCCAAAATGTAAGAATCGCCTCGTCTACAATTGGGATCGTGATACTGATATGGCCATGCAGGTTTCTCCTCCGCCGCACTGCCGTTCGCGCCATCACCGCGTCGCCTTCCAAGGCGTTCCTTGCGAAGCCGCGATCCATCAACACCATAACCCCCTCGGCTTTCCGTCTGAGGCAACAGCAATGGTCAATCTCGTCCTTCCAGCGACGATTTGCTAGCGATGAGGCCACCAAGGGGGACGAGAACTTTGCGCAGACAGCGGCTGAGGCACCTGTCGAAGAGAACTTGACGCCGGCGCAGCAGGAGGTGCAGGCCGAGCCTACAGACGCCTCTGCTACTGTTGGTGTGGATGCATTGGAGGCTGCCGCTGAGACCGCAGACAATGCCCAGAGGTCATCAAAGCCCAGGGCCCCAAGGAACACCACGCCGAACAACATGCTGTACATTGGCAACCTGTACTACGAGGTTTCCGCAGAGCAGCTGAAGCGTGTCTTCTCCAAGTTCGGTGAGCTTGAGAGCACCAAGATTGTCTACGACAACCGGGGTTTGAGCAGAGGGTATGTTAGATGGCCTAGTCTCGGAAAGCAAACACTAACCCTCGTGCAGTTTTGGATACGTCGAATTCAAGAATGTCGCAGACGCCCAAGCTGCCATTGACAACCTCGACATGCAGGTCTTCGAAGGCCGCAACCTCGTTGTCCAGTTCCACGCGCCTAAGCCCAACTCCAGGACCCGCAGCGGCACCTCTGGCAACTTCGAGCAAAACCCTCCCTCCAAGACCCTCTTCATCGGCAACATGTCGTTCGAGATGTCTGACAAGGACCTCAACGACCTCTTCCGTGATATTCGCAACGTCATGGATGTCCGTGTTGCCATTGACAGGAGGACTGGTCAGCCCAGAGGCTTTGCTCACGCAGACTTCATCGATGTCGCTAGCGCCACCAAGGCCAGGGAAGTCCTGAAGGAGAAGACCATCTACGGCAGGCAACTCCGCGTCGACTTCAGCAAGTCTGGCACACAAAATCAGCGCGACAACAAGCGCTCGGATTCCACCCAGGAGGATTAAGCGATGATGATGAAAGGAGGCCAAGGATTGTGATTACATGCAACGGGACGGCCGCCCCACGCTTCTACAACGAATGATGTATGGAGGAATGGTCGACGTATCTGTACGACTGCATGACTGGGACGTGTGTCCTGTTGGCTGCATGCTGTGTTGATAGATGGGTCTTGTGTATCATAGTGGAAGAGCGTCCGGCGTTGTTATATTCCCCTCTTCTTTTGTACACGGTATAGGGTCTAGGTCTAGAAAAGCAAATCGATCTAATGAACTCTTGCAATGTACATAACTCATCAGTATTGTGGTGCGTGCTGTTCGTCAAAGTTTAGTCATGTGCTGCCGCCGAGCTCTACTGGACAAGCTCGGATTCACTCGCTCTGTGTGGCGGTTATTTGCGACCTCGGCCGCCCCGCGTAGCTTCTCCACATGCTGATCAATTAGACCGGCCGACGCGCCTCTGGCACCCGCTCGCCGCCCGACTTGTACATACACCTCCTCCTCTCTGTTGACCGCGTCATACCCGCTGCTTCACACTTACATAATTTTCTACCTTTCGCCATGTCTTTTCTCGGCGGCGCAGAATGCTCGACGGGCGCCAACCCGCTCAGCCAGTTCACCAAGCATGTGCAAGATGACAAGTCGCTACAGAGAGACCGCCTGGTTGGGCGGGGGCCCGGAGGAATGCAAGAGGGCATGCGAAGCCAGCAGATGGGCGGCCCGTCAGATGGCGTAAGTTGGGCACAAGAGTACGAGGGTAAACAAATAGGAATCATGGCTAACTCTGCGATCCATAGATGATGAATGAGTTCATGAACCAGAATGTACAGCTCCCACAAGGGCCCGGTCCCGCGTCTCCATTCGCCATGGAGCAAATGCGACGAGAGTTGGAGCGGACACAGCACAGCGGATCACCAGCATGGGCAGCAGAGTTCGATCCAGGCATGCAGGCGCCACAGATGGGAGGGCCAGCCATGCAAGAAAGACCAGCCGGATTCAACCCCGCCGAGTTCGCAAAGTTCCAGCAGATGAACCCGAACGCGCGGACAGCGAGCCCGACCACCGCTTCTCAGCCTTCGATGACGGGATACCAGCGACCCATGTACGGAATGGGCATGGGCATGGGCGGCATGGGCGGCATGGGAATGGGAATGGGCGGTATGGGCATGCAGCAGCCATTCGCACCACAAAACTTCCAGCAGCCCATGCAGAACTCTGGCAAAGGCAAGGAGCGCATGGTAGAACTCGACGATCAGGATTGGGAGGCCCAGTTCGCACAACTCGAACAGACAGACCAGCAGGACCTGAGCGCTCTTGACGCCGAGGCGAACAAGGCCATGGAGGCAGAGCTGAACGAAATGGACAGGTCAGTAGAGAAAGATGCCGTTGATTTCGACGATTTCGAGTCCATTTGGAAGGGTATCCAAGCTGAGACTGAATACGCTAGGCAACTTGCCAACGAGGAGAACTTCGTCGAAGGACACATGGGCGACATGGATCAATGGGAAGGCTTCGACGGGCTCAACACACACTCGGTCCGCGATCCAGCCATGGGCGACTACCTATTCGAACAAGAGAATCTCTTCAAGAACGTCACGAATCCGTTTGAAGAAGGTGTCAAGATAATGGAAGATGGTGGAAACCTCTCACTGGCGGCCCTAGCATTCGAGGCAGCTGTTCAGAAAGACCCGAATCACATTGCAGCTTGGGTCAGGTTGGGAGAGTCGCAAGCGCAGAACGAGAAGGAAACACCGGCTATAAGAGCGTTGGAACATGCCCTGAAGCAGGACCCGTCGAATCTGGAGGCGCTGATGGGTCTGGCTGTATCATACACCAACGAAGGCTACGAGAGCACCGCATACCGGACACTGGAACGCTGGCTGGCCACCAAATACCCATCACTCATCAAAGAGCCACTCTCTTCAGATGCCGAGATGGGCTTCACAGACCGCCACGTACTCCACGAGAAAGTCACCAACCTCTTCATCCAAGCCGCACAACTCTCCCCAACCGGCGAGCAAATGGACCCCGATGTGCAAGTAGGTCTAGGTGTACTTTTCTACGGCGTAGAAGAATACGACAAAGCCGTCGACTGTTTCGGCGCCGCCCTCGCATCCACCGAATCCGGCGTCTCAAACTCCTCATCACAGGTCCACCTCCTCTGGAACCGTCTCGGCGCCACCCTCGCAAACTCCGGCCGCAGCGAAGAAGCCATCGACGCCTACTCGCGTGCCCTCGCTCTCCGTCCAAACTTTGTCCGCGCACGCTACAACCTCGGCGTGTCGTGTATCAACATCGGTTGCTACACAGAAGCTGCACAACATTTGCTCGGCGCACTCGCCATGCACAAGGTCGTCGAGCGCGAAGGCAAGGAGAAGGCTAGAGAAGTCGTTGGCGAGGGTGTTTCGGACAGCCAACTAGACAACATGATCCACCAGAACCAAAGCACAAACTTGTACGATACGCTACGGAGGGTGTTTGGCCAGATGGGCCGCAGGGATCTTTCCGATATCGTAGGTCCCGGTATGGATGTTGAGCGTTTTCGAGGCGAGTTTGAGTTTTGAGCAGCACGATAGTGGAATTGGTATCACAGAGAAAGTAGAGGTTGAACGTTATGACGATGAGAGTTACGATGATTGGCTTTTGCAGCGGAAAGTTAAGACGCCGCGTAAAGACGAATGGGATGAGGGTGATTTGGGTGACAGCTGTTGCTTTGGCACACGCACTGTGGAGATGGGCATGGATTGCGTCTGGAAGCTGCATGGAGGCATTTAGATCATGGGGAATGCATAGCCAATCGCTACGATGCAGATGTCATGTTTCCTTCCACTGGCTCGCATGAGCACAACGATATATCCCTAGTTGCATGCTATCATCTTTTGCCTACGCTCTTTAAGAGTACGAGGGATGCACTGCAAAGGGGATATTATGGATCTGTGAACTCATAAATTGATGGCCGAATCATGTAATGTTCACCACCGTATTTATATCTATTACATAGGAGACTATTTGCGTGCTCAAAGACGTAACCTCTACTCGGCTCCGTCGAAAGAGAACACTAAAATATATAGAAAACCCTAATCCACACAATCAGCACTCCGCGCTGTGCATTTTACCCTAGTTAATCCAATAGAAGACACCCCAACCCCAATTCTAAGCGAATCCTTCACTCACGCTCCATTTATTTGGCAAAATGGAGGTCATATCCAAGCCACTTCCTCGACTGAACTTGGGGAACAGTAAGGCCAGGGCTACCGTACGTGAGCGGTGCGAAGAAGAGGAAGCACCAGAAGGCGGCGGCGAGGATGACACCCATGGCGATCCAGCTGCCCATCAGGCTAGAAGAGGCAACACGCTCGCGAACAGGCTTCGAGTGAGTGCGACGGTGGCCCTTGACGGCGGCGGGCGTTTCGGGATCCTGGGGTTCAATGCAGAACACGAATTCTACCAGAGCACCAGTGACTAGACAAGACGCAAGATGCGCAGGAAGGTAGTGATGCAAGAAGAGCTGACGACCCATGATGTAGAAGGGGATGTAATGCGCAGCCCAGGTGAGGAAGAAGAATCCAGTCGAGTTGTAAAGACGGGAGCGAGTGCCTGCAGACATGAATGTTAGAACCTCCCCTTCAAATACAAATGCCAATACAAAAGCGAATAACCTGGGTTTCGTGTACGAGAGAGGTAACTTACGCTCATCGAGGGCATCCATGCCACGGCGGAGAGCCAGCTGGTCGGCACCAATAATACCGGCAAATACAGCAAGAAGCGAGGAAGCGAGCCACCATCCAATGGGGTTACCCAGGAAGTAGATCTGCTGGCGAGTGTCGTTGTGAGTCCAGAAAGATACACCGCGAAGGAGGAAAGGCCAGGAGATGGGCTGGGATGCATAAGGATGCGAGCTGGTCAAGGCATTGTTGTGGTAGAACATGGCACGCTGCAGCTCAACCCACTTCCTGAGGAAGCCCAAATGCTTGACCTGCTTTGGTTCCTTCTTGTTGCGTTCATCTTCAACAGGAAGCGAAGGAATGTCATCGACATACCAGACATTGCTGGACTGCTGGACTGCCTTATTACCGTTGATTTCAGCCTGCTTGTAGGCCCAATCTGGCAGAGGCTTGGTGTGGGTCCACATGGCGACCTTGGTTGGCACGTGAACAAGCTTGAAGTGAGTAGACATGGTCTTGAAATCGCCCTTGCCCTTGTCGACCTTGAGCTCGAAGAGAGTGTCGTTGTAGCGTGCACCGGTTGCTTCGTCCTTGTTCACAGTAGTGAATTCCTGGTTGGTAGGGTAGTAAGGAGAAGCAACATCGTGTGTGAGAAGAACGGTGTCCGTGATCAAATGGCGAAGACGAATAACATCGCCAACCTTAACGCGTTGACCGATCTCACTGTCCAGGGGCTTTGAAGGAAGGACCTGCCAGTGGTTGTTGGTGTCGTTGTGGGGGTATCCAGTAACCTGCTGTCCCTGGGAAGAAACACGTCCATCATCGTAACGCAGCGGGTAGCGGTCAGGATGGCTGTGGAGATAGACTTTGGTCTCCTTGTGACGGATGGTGATGGAATCATAGTAGTTGATACCGACGGATTGAAGGCTCATGACATTGTCGCTCAAAGTCTCCTGGAACTCTGGGGTCATGAAGTCGTCACCAGGACCAGATCGTGTAAGGATGGAGAAGTGGACCTGGAACCAGAAAAGGTAGAGGAAGAATGGAACGATGACCAAGCCGACAGCGCGAGCAGCAAAGTGCTTGCCAAATTCGGCCAAAGTTAAGGCACCCTGTCGTCGATTGACGTCCATCAAGTCCCAGAGGTCAATCATGACCGGCACACCAATGGAGAAGAAGGTGAAGACACCGACGTACTTGATGGAGATAACGCAGCTCAGACTGATACCAGTCAGAAGGAGCCACTTCCACCATTTCCGCCCGAAAGCATTGTGACGCTCCTTGTAGAAGCGGATGTAGGATAGTACGGAGAGCGCCATGAAGAAAATAAGCGAAGCATCGAGGAGGATCAGGCGCGTCTGGCCAATGTGGGCGTTGTCGAAAAGCATCAGACCGGCCGCAGTGATGCAAGCAGGTAGCGAGTAGCCAGACTCCCACATGATCATGAAGACGATGGGAACGGTAAGAGCACCGAGCGAGGCGGGCATGGCGCGGTATGCGACATACGGGACCTTGTTGGTAATGTAGGAATCGCCAATGTTCTCGAACAGGAAGTCGCCCTTGTATCCGACGAGCCAGCCAGCGAAGGCAAAGAGGAGCTTTCCGAGGGGAGGATGGACATCGAAGAAGTAGGTTCGTTGCAGGTAGTAGGAAGCGAACTATGTGCGATTAGCGATCTGGACGTGCATCGTGTCTCTTTCTGTCTTCAATGGCATACACACCTTTCCAAAGTGCACCTCGTCGAACACAACCTGATCAGGATGTCTGATGCCCCAGAACCGCGTAATGAAGGCCAGAACGGTCATTACGGCGATAGCGAGCTTGTAGTCCCATTCCCCGCCCTGCTGGACCGGCTTGTATGGTTTGGCCTTCTCGACGACATTGGCGACTTTCTCCTGGACCTTCTCGGCGAGGGCTTCGGGGTTCGGTGAGGTTCCTCGCTTCTTGTCCTTGCCTGCGCGCTGGCGGACGCTACCAGCTGGTGAAGACATGGTGGGCTATAGCTCGATGAAGCTACCTGTGGACACTGATGTTAGCTTCTAATGCCGCAACACGTTGAGGGCTACAAGGATGCGCCTACCTCCCATAAACAAAGGAACGAATTTGATGGAATTGGAAAGAGAGTTGGAGTTGCGCTCTGAGAACACGACACCTAATCGCGAGTTCAGGGTCCGGAGGAGCCAATCCCTAATGGGCTCTCTCGCTTGCACTTGGCCCCTGCATTAGCGGTCATTGGTCCACCATCATCACAGCCCCCCCAGCGAGGGGTAACAGAAGTCTGGTCAAGTATATTCGTCTATATGCTCTTGGCATTGGCATCTCCATGATCTTCGCATGCTCTACATGTTCCCGAGATACCGCCGTAACCTATCTCATTGCAACCTTGCAAACGCTGCCAACAAGCAATACAACGTCATGTTCGCAGCTTATATAAGGACAAACCGAGCAGGTCTAAAGACTACACTAGGGTAATAGAGGCAAATCAGGAGATCTAGCGTTTGTGTAGCCTCTGGGGCGTTCAGCTTCTCCTTGATTGAGGTGTTAGCCTCGCTCTAGAAAGCGGATCGAGTGGTAACACTCTGGAATCACTGGCCCTTCTTTCCCTTTTCAGCCTCCAACTTCTTCTGCTGCGGAATGCGATACGATGTTTCCCACCCATACAAAGCACCCGCACCAAACACCATGGCAGCGCCGACTTTCATCAATCCAGTCATCTGGTTTCCGAATATCCAGATACTGAGCAAGAAGCTTACCAGCTTTCTGATGTTCAGAACGATCGTAACAGTAACGGCGGAAGTGTTGGCGCTGAGCATATTGACGCCGGTGATGCAGAGCAGTTGGGTAAGGGCATTGGCAGTAAGATAGATGACATGCTGTGATGTTGAGGCCAGGATAGTGTTGACGATTGGCGGGAGGTTCTCTGCGACTTTCGGTGGGACCTCGAATGATTGCGAGGCCTGCAGGCGCTTGAATTGTTGCGTTAAAACCGGTGCGAATCCTGCAAAGAACGGGATGGACAGCAAGTGGGAGTAGAAGAGGTTGGCCTGCCAGTCCTTGCCATGTTCACGATAGACGTCCTCGACGTAGGCGCCCATCCATGCGGAGAGTAGTTGCGCGATGAGCAGGATAAGAAGACCAGCTTGTAGAGAAGAATTCGACTCATCGGAGCTCGAAGCATCCATGTTCTTGCCCTAGTTCCGTGGTTAGCGTCTATAAATGAGTCGTTGATCGCTCCACTGTACCTTCGACTGTGCATCTGCCCATGCTGACACCATGACACCTAGCGTCAGAATCGCAACGGAGAAGACCTGGAGAGGTGTGTATCTCTTGCCACGAAACCAGCCAGCCGCCATAGTAGTCACACTTCCAAAGCTTCTGAGGATGATGTGAACAGGGACTGAGATGTTGAATGCGAAAGCCCAGTTGTTCAGCATGTTGACCGTGAAGAACAACGCAGCGCTGACACACCATTTCCGAAATGGTACGGGCGAACTCCGCATGAAGTAACGACCGTTCGGATCGAACTGGTAGTGCAATGTCGAGAGACATGTAAACACGAATTGGAAGAGCGTAATGAGTAGGCCACTGTCAGGCTCTTGCCTGGGCTGTGTTAGATTTCGTGCTGTTACTAGGGACTACACGTTGTTTACTTTACTATTGCTTCCAGACAATACACCTTTCAGACTTTAGTAATGGCATCATAACAGTTGTGGATTTCTTACATTTGCGCAACACCCTCCGAAGATGAGCGAAAAGCTGCTGATAACGGGCGCAAGAGCGGCCATGATAGCAGTCGCGTGGCGTGAGTAGTGGCACAGATTACCTACGCAATTGTTCGGGAATTCGGCCGTGTACACTTTTCGAAGCGAAAGTTGGTGGAGCTGTTGCTTGTCAGAAAGGTGACGTAGGTGAGCGTTAGATGACAGTAAGTTGGCAAGTAGAGAATCGCATAGCGCATTCCGCGAAAACCATCTCCCATCGCACAGGCAACATACAGAAAACACTCAAGTGAGTACGATTGCACACTAACTTTTATGTACTAAGCATGGCTTGTAATATGGTGAACGTTGCGAGAAATCTAGAGAAATGAAACGCAACGTGGAAGTCTGGGATGTCATGAGCCTCACGGCGGGCGCTAACGGGATCAACCTAGGCACTGCCGAATCAAGCAGACTTCTAGAACAGAGCCTCGTCAGGCATATTTGCGTACAATTTACGAAAGTCGTTAACAAGTTTGAGCTTATGAGTGCTTCACGTCCATCATGGCAGTGCAAAGCACATACGAAATTGTCATATGCTTGTCGCAGTCTTTTAGCATCTGCGATATGTCCTGGGTTGTTTCACGCAGAGGTGGGACCAAGACCTGTTGATGAGATTTCTTTTGTTCTTTCTCTGCACCACTCAGAGTCATTATAGTGGTGTTGCAATCTACACTGCTCTGCGGCTACCCGATCGTTAAACCACATTGCGTCGTTCCTCATCTGCATTCCCACGCCGATTCGCCAAGAATGCTCCTGTTCTATCATCCTAGCGCCGCCTGGCAGGCTGCTGCCAACATTGAAAGGAAGATGGAAGAGTAAAGATGACCAGAAACCCAACAAGCTGATGCTCCTGTTTACATGTATTCTGTGGCGATGTTCGCGAATCAAGGATACCCCTACAATGCGGAGAAGACGAAAAGCTGTAGGATGTTAGATTTTGGTCATGTGAAGAGAACAAGCCTGCTTACGTTGTTTGTTGCTGCTATAGCGATGCTGTCTTCAAATGGATGCCAGCTCATGTGTAGGATCTTCTTGTTGAAGTCGATCTGATCTGCGTCCGTCTCCTTCCTCATGCGTTGGCCCTGTCCAACTGCACCAGCAGCAGGGCTGCCGGCCCTCGAGCCACCTTTCTTACTTGTGTTGCTGCCTGTCGGGCTTGTCGACGAGTTCATGGGTGTTGGGATTCCAACCTTCTTCGCCTTGAATGCAGACTTGTCGGCCTGCAAAACTACCTCGGTGTCTTTGTCGTTATCGGATGGGTATATCATGAAGTTGTTGTTGTAGCTACCAGTCATGACATTCTTCGCATCCCCAGAGAAAACAACCTCGAACTTGTCGAAAATGCTGTCGTTTTCGTAGGTGTCGCAGAGCCTCGGTCGAAGATGTTCATGGATTGGGATGGTCTTGACCGGAGTCTTTTCCATGTTTACGTCCCAGATCTTGACAGTCAGGTAGTCGCGTGACAGAATGTATCTTCCGTCGTGTGAAAACCGGACGTCGGAGATGGATGAGATGATCTCAGAGAAGAACGATCGCGAAGATGGATCTTCTTCTTGCTCAAATTCTGTAGAGCGAGGTTAGTATTAGCTGAGGCGGAAAGACGGACGGCTTACGCTTTGCATGCTGGTCGCATAGAGCACTCTCGCGCATGTCGGCCAGCTTGATGGTGCCCTTAGAGCTTGCGTACATGAACCAGTTGCAGCTGATAGGGTGGAACTCGGCAGCGGTGATGACCTCCGTCAGCTCCTCCATGTTGGCGGGCTTGATGTCGACGATGTTGAAGCTCTGGTCCTGGATGTTCAGGTTCCAGAGGTTGATTCGCAGATCATCGCTACTAATGAACGTCTCGCCATCGCTGTTGACTGATATGCTGTTGATGTGGTAGGCGTGTGCGTTGGCATACGTCTTTCGCGGTACTGCGGCGACAACTGTGTCGTGATGTGTGAGCCGTGGGAGCTTCAGATCGGTGGCGCTACGGAACTGTGCATTCGGGTTCCTGACGGGACCACCTCCACCAGCAACCCCACCTCCAGGTGTCAACTCGTGTGACAGGTTGTTCTCCGCCACCACTTTCAGCGACTTTTCAAATACCTTCCATAGCTTGATTGTCTTGTCGTTTGTGGAAAGCAGATAGTGTGAAGCGTTTTGCCGGCGGCACCACTTGATCTTGTTGATCTTCTCTTCGATCTCGAGAGATTTCAGGTAATCGAATTCAGGCTCGTGCGATTGGAACTCGGTGTGGAACTTGTATTCGCAGGTTTTTTTCTGCACCTTGTCAGTCTTGAACCAGCGCGAGGTCATAGTAGAGAAGGGCATACCGTCTCGTTCCTCTCGAACAAAACCACACGACCGCCCTTGTCACCGGTTGCAAGGTAGTTGCCCGTCTGGTCGAACTCGACGGTTGAGATGATGTCGGCTGCGCTCGCTGTCAGCAATTGCATGCAGGTATTAATGAATGTACAGAGAGCGCAACGGTAAGAAACGGTACGTACCTTCGGTTATGTCTTCAACATCGCCTTTGTCGCCGAAGCACCTGCTCCAGTCAGTGGCGTTTCCAGTGCGATTTGAGCTAGTGGCGAGACAGCAGCAACCAAGCTGAGCTGATGGGCCTAAAGGAGATGTGTAGCATGCGGTACGTACTGGGTAAATTTCCACGTCGTGGGATTGCCTTCGGCTTCTACCATGATTCTGGACAAGGATTGCGGGACACCAGCGGCGTGCGGTCAAGGGTAGCGAGTGCTCTGTCGTGTTCGTACGCAGTGTACTATGGGTGTTCAGTGTGCGAGCTGTTGAGCTTGTCGTGGGGCCCGGGTGAAGTAGCGCCGCCAAGGTCGAGGGTGGTGGGTGAGTGAGTGCTGGGAATGATGTAGTGGGAGCGGTGTCTGCTGGCCGTGGCCGATGGCGGGGTTGGCGGTTGGGCGGGCTGATCGTTGAAGCTCCGGCGGAATCGAGTCGGCGGCGGAATGACGAGGGCGGGCGACGACGTAGGGAGCAACAGCGCACGTTACAGAGATCAAGTGTGTTGTTGCTACCTTCACTGCCTCTAACGTGGGGCAACTGCGATCCGTGGACGTGCCTTGGCAAGCAAGGTCGGAAGGCGCGCTAACTTGTACTAGCGCCGTCCGCTCGCACTTTCCTCCGTCAACCTCAATATTCAAGAGGACTTTTCCTTGACGACTCCTCCAACTCCTCCAACTAACCACAGGAATCGAACCATGTCACACAGGAAGTTCGAAGCCCCCCGCCACGGGTCTCTGGCATTCTTGCCGCGAAAGCGCGCCGCCCGTCACCGGGGTAAGGTGAAGAGGTAAATTTCCATGTCACCACCGCCCACTGTCGGACAGCCTGCTCACTGCAATTGCCAGCTTCCCTAAGGATGACCCCAAGAAGCCCGTCCACCTGACGGCCGCCATGGGCTACAAGGCCGGTATGACCACAATCGTCCGCGATCTCGACCGACCAGGTGCCAAGCTGCACAAGAAGGAGATTGTCGAGGCCTGCACCGTCATCGAGACTCCTCCCGTACGCACAGCCAATTCCGAGCAGTTTTGGCGCACTACTAACACGGCCGCAGATGATCGCTGTCGGTCTTGTTGGCTACATCGAGACTCCCCGTGGTCTCCGCTCGCTCACCACCGTCTGGGCTGAGCACTTGAGCGACGAGGTCAAGCGCCGCTTCTACCGCAACTGGTACAAGAGCAAGAAGAAGGCCTTCACCAAGTACGCCAAGAAGCACTCCGAGGAGAACGGCCAGTCTATCACCAAGGAGCTCGAGCGCATGAAGAAGTACTGCACCGTCATCCGCGTTCTCGCCCACACCCAGATCCACAAGACCCCGCTCAAGCAGAAGAAGGCCCATCTCATGGAGATTCAGGTCAACGGTGGCAGCATCGCCGACAAGGTCTCGTACGCCCACGGTCTGTTCGAGAAGCCCATCGAGATCGGCTCCATCTTCGAGGACAACGAGATGATCGACGTTATCGCCGTCACCAAGGGTCACGGATACAACGGTGTCACCTCCCGATGGGGCACCAAGAAGCTCCCGCGTAAGACACACAAGGGTCTCCGCAAGGTCGCCTGTATCGGTGCCTGGCACCCGGCCCACGTCCAATGGACTGTTGCCCGTGCTGGTCAGATGGGTTACCACCACCGTACCTCTGTCAACCACAAGATCTACCGTCTCGGCAAGGGCGAGGATGAGGGCAACGCCTCCACCGAGTTCGACGTCTCCAAGAAGCGCATCACACCGTAAGTCACATGTCACACTGGTCGATGATCACTACTAACACAAATCAGAATGGGTGGCTTCGTCCGCTACGGCGAGGTTAAGAACGACTTCCTCCTCCTCAAGGGTAACTGCCCTGGTGTCAAGAAGCGCGTCATGACCCTGCGCAAGTCCATGTTCACCCACACCAGCAGGAGGGCGCTGGAGAAGGTCGAGCTCAAGTGGATCGACACCTCTTCCAAGTTCGGTCACGGTGCTTACCAGACACCGGCGGAGAAGAGGCAATACGAGGGTGTCCTCAAGAAGGACCTCCAGACTTCGTCCTAGAAGTCTCGAGATGGTGCTACGGAGTGCATGCTTTCTTCTCACGGGCTTGGGCGCAGAGGATAGGTTTACTATATGGATGCCAGTCATGAGCGATTGAACAAAAATTCAACGATTCCCCAATTCAAACATGTGTTAACAATGTGTGATGCACGAAAACCGTCTGTCCTAGTGGTACTCGCTGGTCGAGCTGGGAAAAAACTAAACGGGTTTGCAGTCTACATCAACATGAAAACATGCAAAGTAGAAGATCCAACGCTGATGTAGGCTCCAGACCTGTTCAGCATTTCAGGTTCTCGCTGGAATTTGATCATGGTGTGTGTCCGTGCGCGACTTGCGTGAGAGAACCGAGAATGCAGAAAAGAGTTCCAACGTGGAACATCATCCATGCAAACAATCAAACAGATGCTCTGCCGTCTACATTGGTGTAAAAGTTGAAGTTTAGATATTCTCCACGGCAATGTAGGCTTCTAGG